ATTTTCATTTATTTCTTCCAAGTTCTTATCACCATTGGGATTATTAGTTAATAATTCTTCGATAAGTTGTTTTAGCATGCTTGATACCTTCTTCTTCCTACCAGTTTTTTTGCTTTCTTGTTAATTGATTTTTTTTAGTAGATGCAGATGATTTTCTAGTATGTTTTTTCTGTGTATCACTCAGATTCTGTTCTATTAGAGTTGATACCTTTGACATCATTTTAGATGAAGAGCAGGTAAGACACATCTTGTAAGAATTTTTGATGCAGTCGTAATGCACAACATGTTTGCAAGATAAAGAAATGGTTGGTTTCGTAAATTCTAGGAAGATTTCTTCAGAGCATTATTCATATATAAGAAGTTAGATTTGACTGCTAGTGTCCTTTGAAATTGAATCATCTAAATTATCAAAATTGTCAAGTGTAGTGCTCATAATCTCAATAGGGCTAGTTACCTGGTCGAAAGTTTCTTTAGTGATCCCAGTAGTCTTGGACAAACTTTGTTTCTCTTTACCTAATAATCCTAGTTTATCTATTAGTATTACATCATCATTTACGGGAATTTGATTTTCTAAATCCACTGGCTTAGTGAAATCTGCAGTTGAGGGTGTAGGTTTGCCTGTTTCTTTAAAAAGATCTGGAGAGAAAAAAGTTTCAATATCTCTATTACAATCCTTATTCGAGCATCACACTTCTCTATTCATCAGATACTTTTTGAGACACTTCTGGTAAAAGATGTATCCACACGAAGCTAGGGTGAATTCTTGGTATGGTAGATTAATGCGAGTGAATAAATCTCTTTTCATATAATGAGTATAGATTTACATCTAGGATACTAATATGCGTAATAAGGGTGCTAGTAAATAGAAGATATTTTTTGCGAGCGTTATGATATGTGTTCTATCCATACTGTCTTTGTGTATAGCTGAAGAGTTTTGAGCAAAAAATGATCATTCTCTTTTATATCACTTGTAAATTTCACAGGAGAAAACATTCCCTTCAGGATTAATTTTCACCAGCAATTACACACAGCATTTCATCATTTGTTAATCCCCTTGCAAATCGATAAAAATGGTTTCATGATTAGCATATGCATCTCCAAATCTCATATGCGAAATAATGATTGTTAGAACGGATCCTTAAAGATCGCACTAAGCTGAAAGAAAAATAGAATATTGTTTTATTAATATGATAATAGTGTGGCCGGAGACAGCCAGAGGCACTAAAACATGATGTAAAAAATAAATGCAAATCAAGTTGAAAAAAATAACGTCAATATATATATGCCAATCTTACATCACACAGCTTCTATCCTTCAGCAAGAATTTTATCAAATATCTTTTGCGCATTTCAGATGATTAATTCATAAGACCCAATAGGTATATTTGATAAGAACATACTTTTTTAATTTTTACATCACTTTATAATAGATAACAAAGAAGATAATACACATCATACTCCACACATATACAGCATTTACATATTAAAAAAAGATAAACTCAATGTGAGTGGCATTTATTAATATTTGTACAACATTAGTAAACTAATACACTATTAATCAAGAATACAATTTTCTCTTTATACAGCTAAGAATATATAGTACATTATACTATATTTGAGAAAAGCTGACTTTTGATCTTCTTGAAGGTAATATGCGTTACGTCAGAAAATTCACGAACTTTTCTAGTGTGATTGGAAATACTAGGACTACTTCGAATATAAATAATACGAAATTCAGACATGCGTATGCCATTTCTGGTAATAATAAACCTTTTTTGTGAATCTATTTTAGCAGAATGACGAGGACTATACATCTCATTTAAATACATCTCGATCTGATTTCTTCCATTCATTTACACTATAAAGATACCAGCTTGTGCAGACATTGGTTCAAATGCTTGCCTAATATTTGTTGATAATTTGCTATTGTGTGAAGTAAAATCACTAATAGATACCTGTATAAATATAGGTTCAAGCATGTAATTAAATTGGGGTACTTATCAAAACTATGATCTAAGACTTTATTATTACTAGGTCTGAGAGATAATTGGGAATTTTTAATCAAATCATAGTCATTAAAATAAAGTGTAATAACATTTCTATTATTATTATTGAAATCCGTTGCATTGAGTTATATTATTATGTTACATTTGCATACAAGTTGATTAAATAAGGCTTTCTCAAATTGCTTTCTAGTTAGACTTCCTATACAGAGTCAGTTTTTTATATTTTCAGGTAGATCAAATAACATATACATTTTTAATAAGGCTTTCTAGGCAGATAGACATAGAGGGAGGTAATGAGTAATCCCTTTCTTGTACTGATAAATTAACTAGAAAGAAACATGCTTGTGAGAGCATCATAATGGCAAGTTTTTTCAGTTTTTAAGAGATCATTATAATATTTTTGAGCAATAATCAGAATCTTGTTGACCCGTTCAATTTCAAATTTTTTTAATACTTATCGAAAGCAGTTTATATTAGTAATAATGATATTGAATTTTTTAATATATTCAACTAGGTATATAAGTTTACGTAATACACAATTCGTAACCTTTTTGCCTTTTCTTTGTATTCTCAGAATGGGATGCAACTGTAATAAAATATCAAATACATTGCTCTATAGTGGACCAATATAGATCACTTAAAACTTATATTGACCATTTTTTATATATTTTCTCTCATATCTAGTATGTGCAGTTCTTGTCAGAATTACACGTGCAAATTTGTAACTTTCTTCTCAAAAATTAAGGTTCATTAGAGGATTTAACAAGTGAATTCTTAAAGGTACTGGATCTTTTTCAAATAATATAACATGTTCGTCAACAATTAATAGAGCTTTACGATCTGCTAATTTGATTAAATTTAAAATTTCTTTAGCAATGGTAACCTCAATCTCCTTAGAATCATAATCAATATGTTGAATAATCTGCTTAAGATTAGTGACAGTCAAAATATCTTTATTAAGTATCAGAAAGAACCTGCAAATCACATCTCCTGCTTTCTTTGATGATTCTACATTTAGATCAGATACATCTGTGATATATAGTATCAACCATTCTTCAGTATAAGCTTAAGATGCAAGGAAGTAGAAAATATATGATTTACCTATATCCATTGAACCAAAAAAAACACATTTGATCGAATTGTCACTATTTGCTGAAAGCTTGTCCCATATGTCAATTATCTACCTTAAAGATGGATACTATAATTAAAATGTTACAACATTGCAACATTATGTTGCAACATTATATAAATTCTTTAATAATTATAACATGTGTTATAATTTAAAAAATGTTGCAATTTAAAATATAAGTTATAATTAGCTATAACTTGAAATATAATTAATTAC